AAAAAAACAAGCTGATACATTCAGTATGCAAAAGGTCCTCTGAGGAAAAATTTAGAAGCGCATTCCTACAAAATATTTGTAATCTCTTACTCCGATTATCAATGAAGTGCTAACTTTTCCAGAGCTTGTTTTAATGCTGTCCCTTCACCCATGCACATTCTTAAAAAATCCAATATTGCAATGTTCATATGGATCAGGTATGACTTCCATTTTTTACTACCAGTTTGCTTGCATGTGTGCTCATTCATGTGCATGCCCCACTTCTGCGCATGCACAGAAGTATCCGGGTGGGTGGGCGGAGCTTCCCACCGCTGCTACTACCAGTTCGCCCGATCCAGGCCGAAGCGGGAACAACCCACCTCTGACTAAATCCATGAGTCATGTTTTTCTTGGTTGTGCTTTTTATACAAGTTTAACACAATGGTTTATCACTAAAAAAAACCCTTCTCTTCCAAGTTGTGGAGTTTTAGGGTGAATTTTTTTTTGCCACAAACTGGAAAGTACCTTATGACTGACAGAAATCCTAAAATCAGCTGTTTCAAATTCTACTACTTAGCAACACAGGGATGTTGCAAGAAGTTTACCATTTCAGTAAAGAACAACCATGTATAGAGATAACCTTGCTTGCATATGAAAATATTTGAATGCTTTATTATGGATATCATTATTATATAATATTCCTTATTAGGAATCTTATGATTCAACCATAATATGAATATTATGGACTTCTGGTCAATGAAGTTGCACCACTTATTGACAACCTTAAGCAGCTCCCATACCTCTTCTCTTGCCGAAATGGTTGAAGCAGGGGTATTAGGCACCGAACTGTGGGCAGTACTTGGGCCTGTTCCAGATGAGCTCTGGGAATCGCCATCTCCAGCAACATCATGAATCTCTCGAGCAAGGATTGCTACATCTTTTACCAAGGTCTGGCTTAATCTAGAAGAATGGTATGAACTCTTTAAGTAGGTCTGATAAAGATTAATGCATTATTCACAACTAGAAGGAACTTTCTGTCTCCTTCTAGGTACAAAATAAATAGCAGTTAAAAAGTTCAGAGAGGAGGATTCCTGACATGGATACTAATTATATTCAATTAGAAAAACACAGTGCCTAGTTTTGCTATTTAAAAACTATAAAAATTGTTTCTCCTGTAATGAATTCTGCTTGATATTGAAGAGTGGTGTATTTGAGCGGTGTGGTGGCCTAGTGGTGAAGATGTTGATCTCTCATTCAGAAGGTTGAGTGTCCAATCCTAGGTAGCAGCAAATGTTTCTTTCCTCAGGCGCAAATTAAAAATATCTGCTGCAAACGCCATGTAACTATAAGAAAGGCATCTGGGCAGTAAATGCTCAGCTGGTTCAGTGCCCAAACTCTACCCCGAATTAAGGGATTACAGGGTCATAAAAAGAGTGTTTTATTGAAGATATGTACTTATGTGCTGAAGAAAATTACTATAAAGGAGAGACAACAAATGCCTTCCAGGTTTTCTGTCAGCTTCTGCCTTGCTGTTGCTTCAGCTGCCATGAAACGGGGAGGGAGGGCTGGTATTTGGGAGGGGTTAATTGATGTGCTGGAGGAGTCTTCTAGGATTTTCGAGATGCTCGGATGGCGCATGCGTGAGACCTTCCCGCGTAGAATAACGGCCTCGACATTCCATCTTCGTGATGCCTTTTGAAGTTATCTCACACCTGACACTTGAAGGACTGGAGCTATGATCCTAAGGGGTGGGGAATGGGCTATTCTATATATCAATTGCTTTCGCGCCTAATTAAGTAGACTTTGCTT